GGCTTTGAATCAGCACTCCAGAGATTCTCAACTGAAGGTACTTTGTCACTCCCTCCCTCCACAGGTATCTGACATCTCTATAGTTTTGGTTGCCACAACTTATGTGGGGATTGCTACAGGTATTTAGTTCGTTCAGGGCAATGATGCTGCTAAATACCCAACAGCCTACAGGACAAACTCGCATAAGAGTTATTTGGCCCCAATGTGAATACTGCTGAAGTTGGGAAGCCATGGACTAAAGGCAGGAAGAATGTTTCAGCTGAGTCTATTCTCTTTTAAAATAGATGCTCAGAAATGCACAAAACATTTTAATTTATATGCCATTAACCCAGATCTTATCTTATAGCCAAATCTAACTGTTAAGGAACCTGTAGATGAATCCATATATTTTTTGTTTGTTTTATTGTCATCTTGAGCAGAACTGGACTCTATAATTATAAAGAGAATGGCCGGCTGAGAGATGGCTCAGCTATTAAAGGGTAGACTCACAACCAAAAATATAAGAGTTTACTTCCCAGCACCCACAACTGTCTCTCCAGCCACCAATAAAAAAATAAGAGAATGGTAGTAGAATAGATCAATATATATTATACACTAGGCGTTTTTGACTTTAGAAGAGAAATAGTTGTCTACAGACAAAGAGGTAGTGAAGATTATCATCTGCTTGTGTTTTTTCCACAGCTGTCAAATGTAGCTTCTCTCCAGATGTGTGCATGGAATAATGGATGGAAATAACTAGTTATAGAAAACCCTGGAGTTTTTTTTTATCAGCCTCAAATGCCTGCAAAATGTTTCTCACTGGATCTAATATGCCATCTGTTAAATATGCATCCCATTACTTCCTCAGTATTTATATGGTGACTTGCTGTTCCCTCTTGTTGTTGCAACCAGCGTGATAATTGATTTCAGATGTGCCATACTAACACCTTGCCCTTCAACAAACCATCCAACTATTGGTGGATCATTTCTTTCATTCTGAATATGTTGGGAAGTGATGTGTCACTATTTGCTTTAGTCTGTATGGAGGAAAGTGGACATACTCCTAAGTGTATCAAGCAGGAAAATGCTTAACATGAGCGATTAGAGGGGCTATGATACTATTGCAGGGCTGGGAAACAAAGACCAAGATTGCCAGTAGTCACTTTTGCCTGTACACCAAAGGGTTCTTCCCAGGAAAATGCTTGGGAGTTGGTGGCAACATGTTGTATCTACTGGCTGCAGATGCTTATGGGCTTCACTAATGCTGCTTCAGTGAATAAATGACATCTACATCTCTTCCCCCTTCTAAGGCCCTATGAGCATTTCTTGTTGACAGTCTGATCTAGAGTCATGCTCAGTGGGGTTTTGAACAATTCAGTTCTGAAGCTTCTCAGAGAAAAATGGAATGGGTTGGAATGGTGAGGAATTAGCAACAAACTCTAGAAGAAGGAACATTTGACCCAGAATACAAATATCTATATATATTTTTGAAAAAAAAGAGAATATTCTACTGAGCTGTTAGCAGTCTGCTATTAGAATCATTACCTGATTTTATTTGGGTATCCCTGGTAGGGAAATCTGGATTCCTTGCATTTCTTTTCTGATTTTCATCAAGTTGCAGTGATGCTAAATAAACAAAAAAGGATTCAGTGCTATACATATAAGTACAGGAGCTAATGTATTCTGTGAAACTCTGTAGTTCAGTGAGGTCTCAGAGAGTGAGGTTGGAAAAAGAATGCATAATTCACTGATATGCTTTGGGAAAGCCAGTGTTCAGAAAACAATTGTTCATGACTCAGCTTGTCTTGTATATTTTTGGGGTTGTGTGTGCTGAAAAGAACTACCTACAATTCTTCATTTGCTAAAATGATGCATATGACTTGCGGTGAGTCACTAAATTATACTGAGAAATTAGCTACAGCTAGGAAAGTAAGTAGTTTCAGAAAAAGGTAGCCTATAAATATGTGAGATGTTGTTTTGTGGTCCTGGAATGGTTGTAACATCCTGTTATCATATTAAACTTTAAGTGTAGCTCACAGGCTTTTGAAGGCAGAATTTGATCTGTGCTATATGTGCGTCCCTGGAACAGCAAAACCTATTAGGGCTGTGTCCTGCAGCACTCCTAAAATTCTAAATCTTGACTTGGAAGTTTCTGATGATATTTAATATTTATATTATCTCAAAGAAGTTAAGGGAGATGTACTATCTCGCTCCATTTATTTCTTGAGTGAGGTGATTTGGAAGGGACTATAGAAGAAATATCATTAGCCAGAGCAGTGTGGGAGGTCACTGGTTTTGCTGGAATACAGCTAATGGGGCTGGGGCTGCTTAGGTCTTTTGTTTGCTCATCTGAAGGTAGGCCTGGAAATACAGATTTTCATGCAAATGATTTGTTTAGCAAATACTTGCAAGTGAAAGCAGCAGCAGAATGGGAGAAATTAGATCAAGACAGGGAAGAGCTGAAGGGAGGATGCAATGTCAGAAGACATTTTGGAAGTAGTCTGATCCCGTGAGGAACTCTGCTAGTGTAAATTATACCTCTGAGCTGGTCCTAAATTGAAGAGAAGATGTTGGGCTTTCATGATCCTGCCACAGTCAGTTATTGGCTAAGAGTTACCTGTAAGGAGCGAGAGCTCAGAATGACAGAAGGCAGATCAACAGCCCAGAACGAGCTGTGGTTATATATAGGCCTTCAGATTTTCTGGTGCTGGCAATTAGAGAAGACAGGACTCTAGAATTGGCTGCAGAAACAAGACCAGAAAAATGATAATACTAATGGACATGTTAATGTGGAAGGGAAAAATTTGCAGGGTCCCACCGCTAGACAAAGATCTATAGACAACTATTGACTGCTGGGAGAAGGAGAATTAGCCCCTCCAAGTGACAAACCCCTTTAATGGTTGTCCAGTGAAGAATGGTTACCCTTGAAACCACATATGCACCACCACCAAAATGGACTCATCTGGATGTGTGTGTGTGTGTGTGTGTGTGTGTGTGTGTGTGTGTGTGTGTGTGTATAACAGCAACAACAGTAATGATGACAATGAAAAACAAGTTATCAACTTGAGAATGGGAGCAGCTCAAGGGAGGGCTGCAGGGAGGGGCTGGAGGGAAGAAAGGGAGGGAAAAATGATGTAACTCTATTTCAATTAAAAACAATTGTAAAAAAAAAAGAGTTTGGGGAGGGCTATCTATATACAAGTGATAAAAGGCATCCCAGGGAGTGTGGGTGGAGCCTAGGGAATGTACTTGCAACACCATTGTGAGTTGCATTTATTTTATGAAATCCAGAATCTGGGGACATAGTGGGAGAGGGTTACACATGGAGCTGCAAAATTTCTCTAGAGCAAGGGCTGGCAAACTTTCTTCCAAAGGCCCAGATAAAATATTGGAGACTTTGTGGGCTCCAGAGTTTTTGTTTCAGTGAGTCAGCTCAGAAATTGTAGCACAGAGGCAGTTATAGATAATAGGTAAATGAATGAGTGTGGCTGTGTTCCAGCATAATTTTAGTTATGAAAACAGGTAGAAGAAGAGGCCTGAAATTGGTCCTTAGGCCACAGTTTGCCAGTTGTTGCTCCAGACTGGCACTCACACTGATTTTCCCTTTATCTATTCCCTGCATGCTGCAAAACAAAGAAGGTAATCATTAGTACCTGTGTCTATCAAGTGGATGACTATGATGTGACGCATCTTAAATTATTCTGGACCCCCTGCCTCCTATCTTTCTGGTGTTCTGGTCATCACTCACATGGATAATCATCCTGATGCATGACTCATCTCTTTTCACTCCTCTTGGAAATATTTAACCCTTACTTATATGAATAACAATGAAAAAGGCTTGTTAGCATGGCATGAATTTCCTATATACTTGTTTTTCATACTAATTTATTGTAGGATAACTTTTTTTATATATTCATGAAGTGCACCAGATATTTTGACATAGATATACATTGTAGAATGGCTAATAGAAATTAATTGGCATATACATTAACTTACATATTTATCCTTTTCTGTGGTGAAACGTTTAAAATCTACACACTCAATTGACCATGTGGATCAGTGTGGGCTTGGATTTTGTCTACAAACATGAGCTTGTGAGTATTCAGGTCATTTCAAAGGTCTGCTTTTACCACATGGTCCTTTATTTTTTCAGTGGTACTTGTTTTTCTGTGTCTAGTTTATTTCAGTTACCACAATGATCTCTGATTTTATTACCCTTTTGTACCTGAATATTATCCCATTGTTGTATGTGTTTATGTACACTACACGTACACTACACTTTATCCACACACATCAATCAGTAGGTCATCTCTGTTTCTTGGCTACTGCGCATAGTGCTGCAATGAGCATGGGAGTCCAGATGGCTCTTTGATATACTGATTTCATTTTTGGGGATGGTGGTGGTGGCGGTACCTATTATCTATGGCTTCACTCAGTAGAGGAATTGCTGAATTTAACAGTAATTCTGGTTTTAGTTTTTAGCAGTCTATTTTCCACAGTGGCAGGTAAGTATTCTCTGGTTCTTCAGATCTGCACCAACACTTCTTTATAATAGCCAGCTTACCACATGCCAGATAATATTTTATTATGGCTTTAATTTGCATTTCCCTTATGATTAGTGATGTTGAAATATTCCCTTTTACATACCTGCTGCATATATATATATATATATATATATATATATATATATATATATATATATATATGAAAAACAATTTTCAGGTTCTTTAAAGAACTTGTTTTCTTGCTATTGAGTCATTTAGACTTTGAAAATGTATTTCATACTTTCAAATCTATCAGCTATGCTCACAGTCTGTTATTGTTTGTATGTTCACTACATTTGTAGCACATTGAGGACAGGTGGTAACTCTTTTTTTGTTTTATCATTTACAGTGACTTGCATATAGAAGACACTTAGTCAATGGAGTTTTCAGATGAAAACTGAAGCCCTACATTCAGTGATTATTAATGATTTAAGTGAGGAAACTCTGACATCATATTTCTCATTTTTCTTTTTATAGGCAAGAGCTGTTTTGGCAAAAGTTGGCTATCCAGAATTTATAATGAATGATACTCATGTTAATGAAGACCTCAAGGCAGTAAGTACTAAATTTACTGTATTTTTTTTGGCAGGTTTTTCTGGCCTTATGCCTATTAACTAACCCAAGTCCAAGCAATTAAACCTGGTGGTGCCAGAAAGTACCAACTTTTGATTAATTCCTTGACTATATATGAGCCTGAGTTTGCCAGGCCTATCTCAAGATTTAGTGCAGATTCCAAATACAGGAAGTGTCAGAAAGCTGAGTGGACATCGTAAAGCAAATGGAAATAATTCACCAAATTGAGTATTTTACAATTAGTGGACATGTTCTAATGGTGAATGCATCATGTTTGTTGTTAAATATTTTTTATTTTCTTCATTTATATTAAATGGATAGACATAAATCTGCCTGCTGAGAGTTAACTTCATTAAACTTTATGACTGTTTTGGCAAATTAAGTGCATATATATATATATGACTCTATAATTTATTATGCATCGGACTGTATATTGGCATTAAGTTACTGATGAGGAATGGTAATAATTCTTTTTTATTCTAGTGTTTTGAGATACATATTTTTCATTACAGCCCTTTCTAATCATGACTACTGTTATTTCCTTTCCCATAAATAGTTCAGAAGACTTTTTTTCTTCTTCACAGAAAATCTCTACTTTCACAATTCACTGAACATTCTTTTTTTTAATATACATGAATTTTATGTGTATGGGTGTTTTGTCTATATGTTTGTCTGCATCCCCTAGAACGGGAGTTACAGATGGTTATAAGCTGCCCCATGTGGGTGTTGGGAATCAAATGCAGGTTCTCTAGAAGAGCAACCAGTGCTCTTAACCCCTGAGCCATCTCTCCAGCAACAGCACTGAACTTTTTTTCAAAAGTAGTCTTGAAATGCTTTTAATAACTATGGCTTGCTGTGGATGATTGATTGATAAATAAAATGCTAATTGGTCAGTAGCCAGGCAGGAAGTATAGGTGGGACAAAGAGAGAGGAGAAGTCTGGGAAGTGGAAGGCTGAGGACAGGAGATGCTGTCAGCCACCACGATGAGTAGCAAGATGTAAGTTACCGGTAAGCCACAAGCCATGTGGCAAGGTATAGATTAACTGAAATGGGCTGAGTTTAAGTGTAAGAGCTAGACAGTGGTAGGCCTGAGCTAATGGTAGAACAGTTTAATTAATATGAGCTTCTGAGTGATTATTTTATAAGTGGTTGTAAGGTCCGTGGGGCTGGGCAGGACTGGAGAAAATTCCAGCTACAAATGGCGCGCAACGTAGCTCATAGGTCTAGCTCTTTGCTGAAATTGTGATTTGACATGTGGCCTATCTGTAAATAGTGCTAGCTTTGTGATTGAATATCAGAATTTTATAAGACCCTTTACATGTGAGATAAAGCCTAAATTTCAAACTTTCTATACTTCATTCGTCAAGAAGGTGTTACCTTTGCTGATTAAATTGAACACTATTTCTACTCACATTTTTTTTCCTATGTGCCCAGGAGTGATTTGATGCTTTTGAACAAGGTTGATATTAACTTTTTGTTTGTTTGTTTGTTTTTCGAGACAGGGTTTCTCTGTGTAGCTTTGGTGCCTGTTCTGGATCTCACTCTGTAGACCAGGCTGGCCTGGAACTCATAGAGATCCGCCTGGCTCTGCCTCCTGAATGCTGGGATCAAAGGCGTGCGCCACGACCGCCCAGCGGTTCATATTAACTTTAACCTCAGACGGAAATAGTATTTATCATATCTCAGAGTTAATCTGGAAGAAAGTCACCTCACATTCTGTTTGTATCCATTAGATATCAATAGTTAAAATAGCATTAAAGGAACAAGTATTTCATACCATTTATTGGATGTCAAAAATAGGAGTAAGTGTGGAAGTTAAAAAATACTTACCCAGCTTAATTTGAGAAACATGGAAATAAAGGGTTACTTCTCTTAAAAAAATCTTTGTAATATACAAATATTTTGAGAACTTTTGAAAGATCTCAGTGAATTGAATATATGATGTCTTAGGGATTTTATTGCTGTGAAGAGACACCATGAGCATGGCAACTCTTAAAAAAAAAACATTTAATTGAGGGTGGCTCACTTATAGTTCAGAGGTTCAGTCCATCATGGTGTGGAACATTTCAGTGTTCAGGCAGACATGGTATTAGATATTAAATCTTGTAGGCAATGGGAAGTCGACTGGCTGTCACACTGAGTGAAGCTTGAGAAATGAGACCTCAAAACCCGCCACCACAGTGACACACTTCCTCCAATAAAACTACACCTACTCCAAACAAGGATACAGCTTCTAATAGTGCCACTCCCTTTGGGGGCCATTTTCTTTCAAACCACCACAATAGAACATATTGAAACAGTCTGATACAATATTTTTTTGGTGTTCATGATCCTAAATTATTTTCTAGGTAATAAAAACATTGTACCTCCATGGGCGGGGGGGGGGGGGGGGGGGAATCTTTCTACATTTGGCTTCAAAATATGGCCTCCCCAAAACTGATGATATTGCTCTGGAAGAAAGTATTAATGCTTTCTAGCATCTTACTTTTCAGACAGTTTTATCTTCTATACTGTTTTAATGATTCTGAACATTTTATTATGATAATTAAATATGAAAACACTTTACACAATAATGTAGATGATGTTGTTATCCCTGCCTTCACCAATCCTGTGAAGTAAATGTATTTATGAGCATCTTGGAGAAAAGGATGTGAAGAGTGAAAGAATTTGGGTGATCTTTTCAGTCACATAGAGTACTGGATACAGGGCTGGAGTCTGGGATCAGAAAGCACTGGCTTCAATCAGAGAAAGGGATCTCAGGGACATCTGATATGAGTCAATTTGGGAGACTTGCTGGGGGTGTAGGGGGGCAGGGTGGGAAGCAAAGCAGTAGGGAGGGAATTTTAACATCATTTGATCTTGTGCAGACTTTACTTAAGTTCCCTTTGGCTATTTGGGTATTTTTTTTTTAATGTATGTGATTTTTAAAATATATCTTTTATTATTTAAAACAATTTTTTAAATTTAAATATATTTTGATAATATTTTCCCCTCCCCTAAGTCTTTCAATATCCTCTCCCTCCCACCCAACTTTAAGTTCTTTCTCAAAAAACAAACAGGAACCCAATACAACAATGCCCTCCAAAACCAAGAAAACAAAATAAAGCAGCACCCAAAAAGAAAAAAAGCCAAAAACCAAACCAAAACCCACCAAACTGTAACCAAATAAAAGCACACATACACAAAAGCCCTGTGGCGTCCATTATATGTTGGTCAACTACTTTTGAGCATAAGGCCTACCCTGGAGTGATTGATATACCCAGTGTCACTCCATTAGAGAAACCTGATTTTCCCTCTTCCATCAGGTATAAATGACAGTTCAATAGTTTACTCTAGTTGTTAGGTTTTCATTCATTCATTCCTTCAGTTTTTAAAAAATAAGATAAAACAAAAGCTATTACGTCAGAGTTGGACAAGATAAACCAACAGAAATAAAAGAGCCCACGAGAAGGCACAAGAATCAGAGAGCCTCTCATCCACACACTCAGGAATCCCATAAAAACACTAAACTGGAAGCCTTAATATAAGCACATGGGGCTTGGTGCAGACCTGTGTGGGCCCTGAGAATGCTTCGTCACTCTCTGTGAGTTCATATGAGCTTTGATTGAAAGAGGCCCCCTGTAGCTAGAGTTTTCCTGCCTGGCCCACAGTCAGGACAAATCTCTCTCACCTGCCAGTCCCACAGCCACTCAGACCTAACCAAGTAAACACAGAGACTTATATTGGTTACAAACTGTATGGCCGTGGCAGGCTTCTTGCTAACTGTTCTTACAGCTTAAATTAATCCATTTCTATTAATCTATACCTTGCCACGTGGCTTGTGGCTTACCGGTACTTTACATCTTCCTTATCCTGATGGCGGCTGGCAGTGTCTCTTCATTCAGCCTTCCACTTCCCAGCTCTATTCCCCTCCTTGTCCCGCCTATACTTCCTGCCTGGCCACGGGCCAATCAGTGATTTATTTATTGACCAATCAGCAACACATTTGACATAAAGACCATCCCACAGTACTTCCCCTTTTCTTTTCTTAAAAAGGAAGGTTTTAACCTTTACATATCTCCAAAGTCAGCTTGGTATATTTGGGAATTTGGGCGTAGCTTCTCTTACTACTTTTTGCTGGAGGGGGGCGCTGTATCTTCTGGGGAAACAAAGAAAATTTTAGGATCATGGAGTAGTCCGTGAGGCTGTATCATCTGAGCCAGTTGCCTTGAAACGGTTCTGGATGTTGGATCATCTGGGCCATGGTGTCATCGGAGACCTTTCAGGGGGTCTTGGTTGGTCAAACCTGATGTATCTTAATCTGGAATAAATCCATAGCCTCTGGCTTTCTGTGGGAACAAAAGCAGAATCTCCTTTCTAAAGCAACATATCCTTATATCCAAATTTTGAAGTCAAGGTACCTTTAAAATATGCATATTGGTTTAACACAGCTTCCTTTACAATCAAATATCTCTCTGTAGTTAAGAATCCCAAAGACAACACAATCCAGATTCTCTGTGTAATATTCATCTTCACATGGCTTATTTTTTATATTAATTTTACTGTCTCTTTAAAGACTTTATTTTTTAAAACTATGTATTTGTGTCTATACTGTATATATCACCTTTTTTGTCTCTTTCAAGCCTACATATATTTTACACACATTTTAAACTATTACATCTGAATCTGTCTTATTGTGAATCTATTGCTTTAAGCTGCAGCAGCTGTGGCTGCTGGCTCCGCCCACCTCAGCTTCCCAACATGGCGTGGTACTTTACCACCAGCTCTGGGAGCTATCGTGGGTCTATGTTTTTATCCAAGCAGCGTGTAGCCCAGAAACCTCTTTTTTTTGTTTTGTACTAGCAAAGGCTAAATCCACAATGTAGCTTAATGTGCCATTTGCAGAGGCCTCATTCCCACCATACTGCAGGTCGAGCATGCACGCACACTAGGAACCCGCCAGTAGCTCAAACCGGCAGGCTGCTGCTAACTTGAAAGAGAC